TGGCATGGTATTCATGGGCACCAGCTGAAGACAGGGTCCCCTCCCTCTGCCTGCCATAAATATTGGCACCAAGTACCACCTAGACTACGGAGGACAGGACGTTCCAAAGAAAATAGTTTTTCTTCTAAGTTGCTTTAAAATATATATACATACGTGTGTCTCTGTGTGTGTGTATGTGTATATACACACACACACACACACACAAACAGACACACACAGATATGTATGTATCTTTGAAAATTGCACCTGTATTGGTATGAGGGCGAAGGCAAGTAAAAGAAGGTGACCGAGCCAGGAGGAGAGAGCACAGATGGCTTGGTGGTGGTAATGGTGTGGTGAGTTGTGGGGAGGAAGGGGGGTGCTCCTCAGAGGTTGCGGGTGGATGGAAGGAGGACCCTGTTTTCCTCTTTCATTTTGCTGTAGATGAAGGAGAGAGAAAAAGAGAGAAAGGGGGTGGGGAGAGAAGCGAGACAGATGGCAGAGTGGAGAGGCGGCAGCCAGCGCCGGCACTGCCCAGCCTGGGCGGACCCAGCTCCCCCCACCGCCTGCCAGCTCTCCAAATGCCACCCTTCCCCCATCCTCCCCTTTACCCATCCCCCCAGCTTGGCACTGATCTCAGGGAGGGAAAGGGAGGGAGGCTGGGCAAAGAGCATCTGTTCCCTCCATTCTCCCAGCTCCATCGGCTGCCAACCTAGGGCCATCGTCTGCCTCCATCACCCCTCCGCCCGCCCGCCTACCCACCCAATCCCAAACGGGTGCTGGATCAGGTGCCGAATCTGGCTGCCTCCTCGGGTACCAGTCACTGTGCATTGCTGTGTGTCTGCCACCGCTGCCTGGCACTCATGGGGCCGTGTGTGTGTGTGTTGTGTGTGTGTGTGTGTGTGTGTGTGTGTGTGTGTGTGTGTGTATGCATGTACATGTGCGTATAACGTGTGCTGTATGTGAGCCTCCTGGGCATGGGTGGGGGTTGGCATTGCGGTTGCCAATTTAGTGTCCAACCAGAAGGACAGAAGGATGGAGTGGAAGAAGGAGGGGAAGGGTGTGGGGCCTGGGAGGGGAGAAGTGGGTGCATGAGTTGCTTCATTCTGCCTGCTTGCGGGCATTGGCACTGCAGCTGCCATCCCTGTGCCCATGGAGATGGGAGGAGGCGAATGAAGGGGGGGCAGCGGCAAGAGTCCCAGTGCTCTGGGAGGAATGCGCGGTACACAGGAGCTGTTGGCATCACATCTGTCAGGCCAGTGCCCAGTGCTAGAGCTGGGGAATGGTGGACCCAGGAGGCAGGGAGAAGGGACAAGAATCGGTGGTGGTGTTTCTGTCCTCCTCAAACACAGCTCTAAGAAATGGTTGGACTTCGAGGTAGTTGGTTCTGTTCCAGCCTGGGGAAGTAAAGTGGTAGAGAGTAGACAGAGAAGTACCAAGAATGTCCCAGAGCTGGCGAGGATGGACTGTGCCACCACTGGCCAGGGAAACTTGTTTGGGCTGGCAACATGGCTCTTTGTCAGAGTACCAAAGGAGACAGCAAGCGGACTGGGACATGAAGGAGGGGGTTGGCATTGTCCATAGGGATGGGCAGGAGCCCTGGCATTACACAGAATAGGGGTGGGTGATAGTGCCTCTTCCCAGTGTGGTTGAAAGGATTGTTGTGCCCGGAGTAAGCAGGGAGGAGGTGTGACGGGGGGTGCTTTATTTGAGAGAACAGACTTTTTTTCTGCCAGGACCTCCTTCCCATTTCTTCTTAGGCGTGAGGAATGGAATGACAAACAGAAAGCAGCGTGAGGACACAAAAGAGGAAGCGCGCCATTGCTAAGACCCCAAGGAAGAAGCGTGCAGAGCGGCTGCCAGTCCTGCTTGGCCTCCAGCCAGTTCCCGCTGAAGATGGCCATATCCTCTAGTCTGGTCTGTATGTGCCATGGTTGCAGGCGTGGCGGGGGGCAGGGCTTGCTTGGTGAGCTGGGCTCTAGAGTGGGTAGGGCACCTTTCTACTGGTCCCATTTGGACTCTTCACTCTAACGAGTGAGGTTGATTTTTCTTTCTGGTGCCTCCCTTTACCTCACCCCTCTTTATCTCTCCATTGCCACCTGGGTCCTACTGCTTGGCACCCAACCAACTAGATGCTGCCACACTTGGCAGCGCTGCACTGGCTTGTGAACAGTGTCTCATATCCTGGCACTGCGGCAAACTCAAAGCCGCCCAACATGCTCACAACGCCACTTGGTGGCAAGGAGAGAGAGCAGGCCGAACACAGAGTGCCAGGCATTGGGTGGAGCCCTGTGTTAGGAAGTGACCAGAGAAGATGCCCTTAACAGCTAGGCTGAGGCAGCATTCTTTAGACCACTCCAGCTCTGACATTCTCCTAACTAGACATCTACCACCCTCTTTTCCTCACTGCCTCCAAGAATAGATTTACAAGGTACTGTACTGTTTCTGAATGGCTATGCAAAGGGAAGTGAGCACAGAGGCACACAAACACCAGCTATAGTCCCTCACAAGGCTTCAGGCCAGAAGACTATGTATCTCTCTGGGCAGCAAGAACAGAAGGATGCCAAGTGGGCCTGGAGGGACAGATATGCCACTAAGTTGTCACAGACAGGATGGGGATGTAGCTCAGTGGTAGAGCATTTGCCTCGCATGCATGAGGCCCTAGACTCAATCCCCAGCACTGGGAGAGAAGAAAAACAAAGATACCAGAAGAGATTGAAAGGGATAGGGCCAGGGATTTAGCTCAGGGGTTCCTCTGCCTGCCTTACAAGCATAAGGGCCCGAGTTTGATCCCCGGTACCAAAAAACCAAAACCAAAAAACAACAACAACAAAAAAGAAAGGGATAAACAGGAAGGAGAAAACTTCAGACCTTGCTGTTAGGTATTGGGGTAGTAGTAACTGGTACAAATTACCTTGTGCCTTGTGATCAGCTGAGCTATGGTTGAGATGAACCCATTTATATTAAATAACTGCCCTAGAAAGATGAAGAGGTATTCTAGGCCTAGAGAGGTAGGCAAGTGTTAGGAAGACAGTGGCACCTAGGACTTGCCCAATCAGAAGGATGAAAGGAGATTTTGTAGTTAGGAATTTCTCAATGACATCTCAAGTGGAGTTGGATAGAGTTCCATATCTTTAAAATCTATGCTAGAAAGGAGAATGAGGATGAGCAGTGAGCTTGGAGAGGGAAAGACCCTGTAGAGAAGAATCCCTGTATCTGTGGTAACAGAGACCAACCCCGAGAAAATTTAGCCTTGAGCGGCCATCTGGAAGAGTTCCCAGTTGGATTGGCTTTCCCTGCTTTCTGGGGGTGGGGGGAAGGCTGCAGGTCAGTGGCCTGGAAGAACTTCTGTGGAAAATTTGGCTCTGGGTGATGTCAAAGAGGAGGCTAGGCCTGTCCAGAAGGAAGTGAAGCCATTCACTGCCTGTGTGGGGCTGAGCTTCTCAGGGATAAGAGAGTTCTGATTTCAGCATCTCTAGAGTGGATGGCAACTTCAGAAGAAGTAAGGTGGTTTCCACAGCAGAAGAGAAAGCAGAAGGCACTCAGCCAAGGGGGTGAGTGGACAACGTTTATATTTTCTCTCCTATTCAAGAGCAGCCACCACAAGTCAAAGACACTGTTAGATTTTTAATATGTTGGAGGGTGGGTGAGTGTCACTGTCATGAAGATAGATCTGAGGGGAAGACAGGACACTGTGCAGGAGCCCTGGGTGTGTAGCAGGGCTGGTCCTGAGAGCTGGAAAGGTGTGGCTAGTTACAGGTGTATATGGGAATGAGCTCCTAGCTGGTGATTCTCAACTTCCAGAGAGTATAGATCACTTTAGCAGGAATTTCTGATTCAGTTGACCTGAGGTGTGGTCCAGGAATGTGCATTTTAATCAAGTTCAGGTGACCATGATGCTTGTGGACAAACTGAGAAACACTGTTCTAAGAGATGGCATTCACTTTATAGGACAGTTGATTTAGCCTGGATTTCCCTTGCCTTTGCTTTTTTCTTCTTCCTCAGCTGCATTCATGTTCTTATGCTGGTATGTTTGGAGTGTGTGTGTGTGTGTGTGTGTGTGTGTGTGTGTTTTGAGTGGGAGGGATTGTGCAGTCCAATCAGTCACATGTCACTTGTTAGAGTAATGATTTTCATTGGCAGTTATTATCACAGAAAAATCCCTGTGGAAACATTGTGAGAGTCATTCTTTCCTTCACCCCATTCTCAATGGCTCTCTGCCCATGCGTTTCTGCAACCTTATCATTGAAACTATTAGGTTAGGAGCATTGCCAGGAGATTGTTCTCTGTGGTCCAGTGAGATTTGTATGGATTTTGTGGCGGGGTACAGGATAGGCCCTAGCCACATGCCTTCTGAAGGATGCATCCTGGGTAGTGAAGTAGGGTCAGCAGAATACAGGGCCAAGCTTATTGCTGACGCTCAGCAAATTACAGAGCTGCTGCTGTTTGAGCATTTGGTGAGGATCCAGAAGTGAGCAGTGTGGGCATTCTTCAAGGTGAGAAGATGTGGTGTAGTTTTGACATCAGGGAGAGACTGCATTGTGGAACAACATTGAGCCCCTGCTAATTCCTTGTTACAGTATTTTAGCTATTGTTTGTGAAAGAGTGTGTGTATGGTTGGATAAAGCTACATGAATAGGCTTCTTTCTGGACAACCTGTATCACTCAGCCTGCTTCTCCACTAGATATTAGCTATGCATAGCTCTGTGGCTGGGGGACTGCAAGAAACACCAGGCTCAATTATCCTATGTCTGTGCTTAGCGCGGAGGGCTGACTGCATCCTCTATGTCAAGGAGAGTCACTGGATGGTTACTCAGTTGAGTCACCCAGTGTGTCTCCCAATCCCTTCCTGTGTAAGTGTAGTCTCTCCCAGAAGGGGCTTTTACTCAGGATTACTTCCCATCTTTTCCTAAACTTTAAGGGCCATGGTCTAGGTTTGCTACCAGTGCTCTCTCTCAACTTTTGTTTCATTTGATCTTTTCATACTGTATCCAAACTATAACCCCATAGGCCCGGATACTTGGTCAGCTCCTTTTCTTGTAGCATGTGTTCTCTTGGTATTATCTCTGTCCTCCAGAAGTGATACTCACATGTACAAGTTTCTGACTAGTGTCTGAGAGAAATGCCATCCCCTCTCCACACAGTACCAGGCTCTTTCTGTAACACCTGTCCCAGCTCACTTTGCCCTGGTTCAGGGTAACCTAAGAATTTTCTAAGCCAGGTGTGGTGGTGCATGCCTATAATCTCAGGGCTCAGGAGGCTGAGGTAGGAAGATCACTGTGAGTTTAAGCCCTGCCTGAAATAGTGAGAACCTGTCTCAAAGAACAAAATGTAAGAATCTTTCCAAAACTTTCCTCTTAATGTCTTTTCTAACTCTCCTCCTTGGACTCCAGAGTCATTTAAGGTCCTTTTCCTCATTCCTTACCTACTTTAGTGTGAGGAAAACTAGCATGTATTGGCAAGTTTCTACTCTGTGGGAGTAAAGTATGATCTGGGGAAAATCCCCCCACCCCCATCTTTCTCTCCTCCGTGTCACCCTCTCTCCAGGGGGTGGGTACCTTGCTAGCATTTGTGTGTATCCTTGGAGACCTTCCAGCTGGGGTCTGCTTCTCTTTCTGAGTGTGGGTTGGCCTATTTTTCTGGTATATGTATATACACAGACCTCTGTATTTCAGGTGTGAATATCTTTACAAGGATGAATAATTGGATGAACATGTCTTAAAAGTGGTCAGGATATGGAGATTTGGAGGAATAAATGATCTGGTCTATGAGTCCTGCAAGTGGATAAGGAACAAATAGAATAAGCAAGGTGGGTACTACTATGGCTGGAATAATTGGCTTTCTTGGTGCTTACAGGTGCTTAAGTACACTCTGGGTACAGGAGCAGGGTAAGAACAGATTTCTTTTTGTGGTCCTGCTGCAGATATTGCCCCATTTGGCCACTAAGGCTTTAGATTTTCTCATATTCTGAAAACTTTTTATTTATTTTTGGGTTGGTTTTTTTTTTTGGTGCCGGGGACTGAACTCAGGTCCTTGTGCTTGCAAGGCAGGTGGTGGAACCACTGAGCTACATCCCCAGCCCCTGAAAACTTTTATTTTTGTTCCTAGTTAAGAATTTGGCATCTTAAGTTACCCTCACAATGATTCTGGTTTAGAACAAAGGCAGCTAAGATCATTTATACTCCCTGCCTGTCAGTAATGACCCTGGCAGTAAGGACCTGAATTTGGGTGCTTCTTTAGGACTGCATATTTCAGAAATCTTAGTTCTTTGCCTCAAGCTGTAGAACCCCAGTCTTACGAGCCATCAGTTCAGACTTACATTAAGGTTAGGGTGGGATGGAGTGCTATAAGATAGGCACTAATGTGCCAGGCGCGACAGGTAAATCTGTTACTCCACAAGGTCCTGGTAACACAGCAGTCACCTCTGATATTCCACAGGGCTATGCTGATTGAGCCTTTTGTCCACCAGAACTACCATGTGTTGTTCTCTGAAGCAAGGTCACTGGTAGGGACATTTAGTATGAGAAAGGGACTGGGGGGATGCTCCCCGGGAACAGTGCACCCTCAAGAAGCATGTTGATTCACCTGTCAGCAGTCAGCCAGGCTCTTTTGCCCCCCAAATTCCAGGATATTTAGACCAGGGTGTTTAGGTGTGAGGTGTTGGAGGACAAGAGGAGAATTTCTGGCTGCATTAACTCTTGGTGAAACATTTATAGTTCAAAATAAAGCCAACTTACCCTGGCTGTAAATCCCTAAGATACACAACACGATGCTTCTGATCGTACAGTGCTAGGTATTTGCCAAAGTTTTCTTTAAAACATCTTTTTCTCATTTTTTTTCAAATTTTATACACAAGTCACATTCCCAGAAAGCACAGAGTGAAAAAGCTTCTTTCCTCATATACATGCTGCTAAGAAAATAGTTTTATACACAGAATTTCAACAGGAGAGCGAAAAGGACAGGGAGGGAGGGGTACCAAGGGGTATCAAGAGGCAAGAAAAGGACAGCAGCAAGCGCCAGACCGCAGCGGGTCATTTCTCTCCTGTTGTCTGTATCTGTAACTGGAATTTTTGGTATCATCAAAATAACTAGCTCTACCCTGCCTGCAATTAGCTAGGATAGTAATTTTTAATTTTGTTTTATTTTTTACGGTACCAGGAATTGAACTCAGGATCTTGAGCTTGCAAGGTAGGCATGGTGCCACTGAGCTAAATCCACGGCCCAGTAATTTTTAATTATTGTAAAAGTAGATGGGACAGGAAGTAATATTCACAGAATACAATGGGGACTAAGGACTGAGTTGACTTTTTTCTCTCCCTTTCCCCTCCCATCTTTTCAGCACACAAGCCCCTGCTTCATGATTAGCATTTACAGAGCAGGGTCACTAAGAGACTGGAAAACCCCAGTCCCAGGGATGAGTTACGAATATTAAATGGATCATAGTGGAGATAGCCTGAGCAGAGAGATTGCAGGGATAGGGGAGTAGGAGAAAGTTTCTGGGTGGCACAGGATATTTTACAGGCTTTTCTTTGCTAAAACAAAACACCTAATTCTCTGTCCTATTCAACCTTAGCTGCACTTTGGAGTTGCCAGAATTAATCCTGGTAGTTATAGAGGCAGTGAGGGGAGGAAGCTTCTCCCTGATCAGTCTTCATGTGGGATTCCCTAGTGATAGCCCCAATCCATCAAAGACTCACTTTGGGCTTCAGTCCTCTCGTTGCACACCCACTGCCTCAAATGATGTCAGCTCTGGACCCCTTGGCCCCATTGTGGATGCCTGCTCTGTGATGGAGTAGCTGAGCTGGAGAGCAGGATCAAGGGCAGAGGATAAAGGGAAGGAAAAGCAGATGGGGAACCAGGGATCCTGCAAAAGTCCAGAAATGGGATGGGGCCGCAAGGGAGGGGAAGAGTAGGTTTGTAGAAAAAGTAAATGAATGGAGATGGTGGTAAGGGAGAGACACACACCTCAATTTCACAAAACGAAGTGCCCCATTCACCCTCCCCTTTCCTTCTGAGACTGCCAAGGTACTTCCGGTGACACTGACTTTTTCTGACAACTGAGGATGAGGGGCTGTTACCTATCTTGTAAATACTCAACTCAGGGGAGACAGACATGTCACTCCCTGGAGTCCAGGCTTTTGCCTCTGAGGCCAGCATGGTGAGAAGGCCACACTGCTTCCAGTCCCATGAGGATCACCAGACACCAGCAAGAAGTTAAAGCCATTTGGTCCTCCAGAGACAAGGTGGTTTAGACACCCTTAGAATGGGGGAGGGATGGCACAAACAGGAAAAAAAACCACTTGTTTGATGGGAGAGTTTTGTTTTTTTTTTTTTTTTTGTATTTTCCAAGTTTATGTTTTTCTTTAGTTCATTTCTCTGATCTCTCCATCTCTCTTTTGTGCGCATGTGCACGCATTCTCTCTCGCTTTCGTTTTTTGGTTGTGTTTCAGTCTTTTTAAAATAACTTTGGATTTGCCGTTGGTGGGCAGTGCCGGTCCCCAGAGGCTGAACTGCCCCATAGCAGGGGTAGGACAAGGGGCAGGCCCATGGCTGCTGAGAGGATCTCTGTATTTAAAGCCTTTGAGAATAAACTACTGCAGTTCCCAGGGTGCAGGATGGGGCTGGCAGAGGGGTTCCTGGGACGGCTTCTGCTAGAGTCCAGGCCACAGGGGCCCCTGTCAGGCGAGGAGAGGGTTAGGAGGGAGGGGATGGGGAGAGTGAGCTGGGAGCACTTCTGCCAACCTTCAGTTTGGTTGAGTTTTATGGGCTCCCTGCCCATCCCAGGCTCCAAACTTGGGAGCCCATTGTGTTTTTGGAAAGAGTTTGAGCAGTATGATGCTCTAGACAAGGGGGTGGGAAGAAGGGGGAGTGGTGAAGTTTATTTTCTGTCCCCCTTCTTTATCTTGGGTTTTCTTCTTTCTTCTTTTTCTGTCAGTGGAATACATGGGACAGTATGTTATAGGAGTGGGGGAGTGCTGGGATTCAGTGGGGAAAATGGAGATGGAACCAAGGATATATTTGGTGTATGGCAGGCAGACAGGTATAAGTAACAAGGACGCCAAGGTCTGTGTGTGTGTGTGTGTGTGTGTGTGTGTGTGTGTGTGCGCGTGTGTGTGCCTGTGAAGATGTAGGGCAAGGGTGACATCTAAGGATTGCGGATAAGGATCAGTGTGTCTGTGGGGCAAGGGAGGAGGCAGGACTCTGCTGGAGGTGGGGTGTGTGAGGCCCACTGAGGGTGGGAACTAAAAGATTCCCATGAGGTGGGCGGAGCCAAAGGTTGGGACCAGGGATCTGAGCTCCCACCAAACACCCCTAGGGGTAAAAGTGGGAGCCCTCCCATCTCCCCATCTTGGTTTATCTGTTTATAAAGCTAGAAGTGTAGAGGTAGTAGTAGTTTTTGGGTTGGAGTCCGTGTGAGGTAATCTTGCTTCCTCTTTGGCAAAAGCCACAGCAGCTGTGGCAGCAGTGGCGGTGTTGGTGATGGTGATGGGCGGGCCCCCTGGGGGCGGGGCTGCCTTGCGCCTGTGGGCTGAAGAGCGCAGGTGGGAGGCCAGGGCTTCACGGCCACTCAGCAGCACCTCACATGCCAGGCAGTGGTAGGTGCAGATGGGCACCCGTAGTGGCGGGGGCATAGAGCCCCCAGAGCCCCGCCCAAAGAAGCAGAAGGATCTCTGGTGGGCAGTGGCTGCGGCCTCCCCATCAAATGCCATCTTGCACTGGCGGCACAGGTAGTGGTGAGTCACATCCACGGTGGAGATGCCAGTGCTGCCTTTCAGCAGTTCCTCAGCCTCGCCAGCTTCTCCCTCCCCAGGAGCTGGCAGTTCAAGAGGCTTTGGAGGTGCTGTGGCTGTGGGTTCAGGGGGCTGGGGTGGTGGCTGGAGTAGGGCATTGGGGAGCAGCCCAATGAGGGTCTGAGGTATCACAGGGTTCATGGGAAATAGCCCCTTCTTCATGCCATAGAGCTGCTGGAAGTAGGCCCCCTGTAATTGGGGGCCAAAGACAGCTGGCGGTGCTGCCCCCCCTGCAGGGGGCATAGGGAAGGGCAGGAATTGGCCTCCCAAGAGGGCTGGGACAGTGGCCTTCAATGCTTTGAGGTTCTTGAGGGCATCAGTGGAGGAGTTGGTAGGGGCTGTAACTGGCTTTCGCTCACCAGAGACCTTGTCCCCCGAGGGCTCAGTAGGCGGGCCAGGGACAGGGTCAGTGGTGCTTGCTATGGAGGTGTTGGTTTGATTGGGCACAGGTCTCTGAGGTAAGGGGCGGCCTGGGCCAGCAGTCTGGACCACCGTGGTAGTAGACAGGACCGAAGTAGCAAGGCTGAGGAGGCCTGAGGAGGCTGCAGGGCCTATCAAGATGAAAGGGTGATGAAGGATTAGCCATTTCCTGCCTCCACCTCCACTGACCTTCCTATTTTGAACCACCTCCTGCCACACCCACATTTCCATCACCCAGGTCCCACTCTCCCTTCCCTCCTTTCCCCTAAGAGCCTAGGCAGTGATGGTGATCCTTTTAGAGCTTTCAGTAACAAATAGCCCACTGTGGCACTCATGCCATAGGTTCACCACCACTGCCCTAGAGCAATGGAAGGTCACATGAAGACTGGACAGGGAGAGTCCAGAAGGACAAGCAAGGGCAACTGCCTCACTCACCTGAACTGAAAGGAGCTAAGCTGCCAAGCGATGGCTGGGCCAGAGCTGAACCAGACAAAAGGACTGGGGCCAGGCGAGGCAGGGCTGGGGCAGCCCCGAGGGGCGTGGAGGCAGGTGTGGTGGCAGATGGAGCCTTGGGAGCTGGGGCTGCTTCAGGTGCTGG